TGACTTGAAGAATTTTCGCACTGAAGATATGCTTGCACGCATCCTAAATAAAGTGTAAGGGTGGAACCAAGTGCTCAAAGAAATGAAAGAGGACGTCTCAACTCTAAACCAAACAGTTACTTCTCACTAGGTGTCCATTAAACATCTGGAAACACAAATGGGTCAAATCTCAACTCATTTGAATCCAAGGCCAAAAAGAGGATTATCGAGTGACACCATGGTCAACCCTAAGAATGAACATTGAATGAGTATCTTCATCATGCCACGAAGTTTAATAAGGAACTTCTTGGGAGGCAACAAAAGTTTTTGAGCTTTTAATTTTGTTGTTTGAATAATGGATGTTGAATGTATAGGTTGGAAATTCGAAATTTTAGGAAGATAAGCAATTAGGCAAGCCTAGGTACTAGTCAGTGACTCGCCAAACAGCTCAGTGAGCTCGACTTGGATTGCTATTTAGAACAACTAGTTAGCTAGAGGTCCTGTAAAACTCGGCGGGCAAAAGCGCCATTCGGTGCATCACTGAATGGTCGGTGACATAAGTCACAATCGCCAACTAGCGCGCAAACTGAAGGGTTATGAAGGGCTGAACTATTTTTAAATTCAAAAACCTCCCTCATTTCATATTTTTTGACTTTTACAGTTTCACAACTGCATATTATATTTTTGTGTGAGATCATTTGCTCGGGGGAGTTTGTGATTTTTGCGTGTTGATTTTCTAGTCTAGCGTCACTTATCTACTCTTGAGGTTAGTTTTTCCGAACCCCGTCATTAAAGTTTCATAGCCTTTAATGCATGATCATTGTCCTATTGTGTTGTTTGCATAATATTAGTGCTTTTTTGGAATGACTATTGTTAATTTGTGCCTAAGAGACCCCGAATTGTGTTTGTTGGTCTATATTTATGAAATCCCGTGTTTTTTTACTTGATTCAAATTGTGGGTTGTGTTAATTGCATTATTGGGTCTAGTGTGGGTGCTGTTTGAGTCACCCAAATTTTGTCATTTTTCTGATTTTGCCCAATGATAGATCGGGTGACGTCATTCTTAAGGGAAAAAGACGTCGATTAGTCAATTTTGGCCAAAATGGGGGAAGTTTGATTACCCTGAAGTAATGGGTAGTATGGGTCGTCGAATAGGTGTTTAATTTTGTTCTAGTGGGCTGTAGGGTAGAAATTGGAGGTCGGGGTCAAAATCAGGAATGTTGAACTGTTCGGTGAGTTGGGTCGAGCTCGCTAAATAGTTTGGCGGTTCGTCTAACGATCCTTGGATCACCTTTTAGTCCTCCAAAATTGGTGAAATGTTTTTGTAACATTCGGCGATTCGCTTGAGCACGCTGAATGTCCCTTAGATCACTTTTTTGAGCCCTTAATTTTTAAAAATGTTCTGTAACATTTGGCGATCTACTTTTAGTTCGCCAAATGGTGTCGGCGATTTGCCAAAAGTCGTTGAGCATCACCGACCTGTGTGAATTTTTGATAATTCCTATTCTGGAACTTTCGGTGAGCCCTATTTGGCTCGCCGAATAAGTCAGCCAGCTTTTCTGCATTTTTTTAAGTTGATAATTTTTCGAACTGTTTCTAACATCTTGATTTATTCGATATTGTGTTGCAGGTATGGCTATACCCAAGGTACCAGGGAGAAATCAACCACCCCGCAATCGTGCTAGGGGCATTTTTATTAATGAGGAGGTTGCACCCTCTCGGACCACACCGCCCAAACTTACTCCAACTGGGAAAAGGAAATGGTAAGGGGCTAGTTGTAACCACACCAGCGGAGGAGAGCTGCGGTAGTGAGGGCGTATATGTCACCCAGCTCACTACTTCAAAAAGTTAGGGACACTCGAGTGATAGTTCGCCAACCTCCGTGTCAGAATCGGAGGATGATTAGACTTTCCAAAACCTTGTGCTCTGATACCATGTTTGTCATGACCCGAGACTAGACCCCGGATGCGACACAGTGTACTCAACCCCGAATGGGTCTTATACAAGCCTCATAGCATTCATAACATAAGATACTTAGAAATAGTGCGGAATGTAAAACTTTTCTTTAAAAAACCAACAATCAAAAACATTGAAAGCAAGCGGAAGTCTATCGTCTTACATGGGCATCCAAACAACATACTTGAAACAAAATAGGGTCACAGCCCTTTACAACTGAAATCTTAACAATAGTCTATTACAAGAAAATAAAGGAAACATCAACTACATATCCTCGATCTATGAGGACATACCACTTAGTCTTGGGGAACTCAAATCCAAGCTTCACTAGAGAAAACCACTCAATTTCCGAAACGTACACTTGTAGTAAACATGAAGAAGAATGGGTTAGCACAATTAAGTACCAAGTATGATAGTCATGCAAAAACATGCTTAAAACGGACATTTTCTTTGAAAATCATGATATATGCCATTTTGATAAAACTTCGTGAACATAAGCATAAGAGGCATAATATTAAACCATAACCAACATACAAGTCACTTAACCACATTAGAACCTAATCACACATAAACCATAACTTCACATTAAGCTTTCACCTCAAGTAACCCTCAAGCTATACTTTGTGCAATGTATGGATAACGTCCCATACCACCACCCACAAAAAAGTACCACCTTAAGGTCACCAAAAGTGAACTTACCATTCAACCTTTCCATCCTTACAGTCACCAAAAGTAAACTTACCATTCAACCTTTCCATCCTTAGATAATACTCACACATAAGAGACATAAACATTACATAAGCCATATCATCACATAAGGACCATCACCTAAGATAACCCTAAGTCATACTTGTGCAATGTGCAAGTAGCATCCCATACTACTACTCACACTAAGTACTCCTTTGAAGTCACCACAGGCAAGGCAAATTCATGTTCATTAAGGCATGACAAAGAAGTAACTCATAATACAATCCAAGTATAGTATGCATCATCTCATTCAAGCATAAGCCACATTCTTCATTAGCTTCATTACATTAGGAGAATCATTCATTTAGACATTAGATCAACATTATTTATTAACATCATCATAAGAGCACATTCATTACACTTAACATTATAAAGAAACACACCACAACCTCTCTCAAAGCCTACTTGTGCAATGCATAGATGGT